TATAGGGTGTGTCTTTTCCAGGTACATCAGTCTGGCTGTGCCTCTTAAAATGGCCAGCTTATTAACTATCTAACTTACTTCATGCAAGACTTTTGTTTATTGGTAGTAGTTCTCCTTTCTGATTCTTTCCAGGCTGTAAGCACCAGGCCATGCTGCATTATATTAATGCATTTATCGCTCAGATCTTTAGGGCTGAATTCACAAAGCGCAGGTGGCCACGTAAGAGCCTGACACTGCAAGCAAACTGCCTCACACTTGAGTGGAAGCCTCCTGAACTTGATGGGGCTCTCCATAGGCACACCTGGCTCTGCTTGCAGGATTGGGACTCCAGTACAGGGTCAGAGAGCAAAGCCAACAGAAGTGTCCTTGGCCACTGGCTTGCTCCCCATTGCCTGCGGTTTGTGGGAGGCTGGCACTTTGCAATCTTACTTTGAATTGATTTTTTTTTTTCATGTAACTTACTGTAGCCTTTTGTGAATGGGACAAAACAAACAGATCCCATTTAGTCTTTTCCCTCCCCGTGGATCCCAGGCGCTCCTGCGCCGAGGCCTGGCGCGCTCTGGTGGCTCTCCAGGGTGTTGCTGTAGTTAGAAAACAGCATTGCTGGAAGACGTGGCGACGCTGACCGAGGCGCAGGAAAACGAGATGACCTGCCAGGTTGCTTGCAGGGCTTATTTCTAGACGGCTGATAGAGCAGGAAATGGTCAACTGAGACCTCCAGTCTGTGTAGAGGGATTTGGGCGTATTTAGTCAAGAGAAGAGTGAGGGGGGATTTGTTAGCAGCCTTCGACTCCCTAAAGGGGGGTTCCAAAGAGGCTGAGGGGAGGCTGTTCTCAGTGGTGACAGAGGACAGAACAAGGAGCAATGGTCTCAAGCTGCCGTGGGGGAGGTCTAGGCTGGATATTAGGGACAACTGTTTCCTGAGGAGGGTGGGGAAGCACTGGGATGGGCTCCCTAGGGCGGGGGTGGAATCTCCATCCCTAGAGGTTTTTAGGTCCCGGCTTGACAGAGCCCTGGCTGGGATGATGGAGTTGGGGTTGGTCCTGCTTTGGGCCGGGGGCTGGACGTGATGACTCCTGAGGTCTCTTCCAGCCCTAGGATTCATGGAATACAAGCTTGTAGCTTGCAAGACCCGGTGTCTTGTAGAGTTTTGTCTTGCAGCAGTGATCTCAAAATCGCATAGAGATGCTAACATGCCCAGTGAGAGCCAGGGGCTGTCATGACTTCCACAGCGCTTCCTTGACTTGCTGGCCCCAAAAAGCCCTCTGGACTCACGAGCCAAACCCTCTTACGCATGGAGGCTGTGCTTTGTCGGCACCGGGGCCTCTGATGGATTGGGGCGGGGGGCAGGGCTGCGAACCAGGCACGTCTGCGAAGCAGGAGAGACGGGCCGCACGCGCCACCGATGAGCTCCCTGACAGAACCTGCTGGGAGGATGCGAATGCCGACACATTGGACTGGCTTTCGGAATCTTGACTCCCTCGCTCCAGCTGTCCGGCTTCCAAGGCATATGGCCGCAGGACAGCAACCCGCACACTCCAGCGCTGCCAGGATGCCGATCGCCCACTCCTTCTACTTCTGTTTGCCGGCTGACTCAGGCAGCCCCCCCACCCCACCCGCTCCCCTGCTTCCACTCAGCTATGCTGCACATGGGCCAGAGGCTACGTGGGATGTTCCCCGCCAAAGAACTGCTCTGTCCGGGGGATGTTTGGATTTTCCCCCGACCTGGGGCAGAAGAACAGCCGAAATCTAAGTTGCACTGGCGTGTTGGGGTGCAGCCCTGCGGGCAGCGCTCTGCTGCCTTGTATATTCATTACGCCCTATGTGTTAAAGGGATCCCCTGTCCTGCAGCCGAGAGCTGTTCCTTCCGGTCGCTGCTCAGATAACTGCCCTTGGCTGGCTTGGCCCACGAGCGTGGGCCAGTAGGGTCTGAGCCGAAGGGCGCAGTGCTGCCCTCACAAGGGAACCGTCCATGGGAGGGCTGACTCCTGCTGTCAGGTTGGCCGTCATGCTACGTTCTGCCCCGCGTCGCTGGTCCCAATGCCACCCGAACCTGTGGGCAGGACTAAGGCAGCCACGCTATGGAAGGCTGCCTTTCCGTAAATGGTTGGGGGCAGGTTTCCACGCTGGGGCTGGCGCTTTCCATCCGCCTTGAGCTTCAACAGGTGGAGGTGCCACCGCTGCAAAGCGTAAGTTTGACGCTGCCGGGGGAAGTGCCCAGCACTTGAGTGCAAACTCAACCGGGCAACTTGCTGTGTCCAGTAGGAACGCAGGGCTGCCGCTAGTGCCTCGTGACAGGCGGGGCCAACACAGAACACCGACTCTGGAACAGTTTCCAAGATCCGGTGGAGAATTCTGCTAGACCCAGCAAGCAAAAAGGGCCACTTATGTCCGGAGAGGCACAGTGGGAACACGGAAGGGCACTGATCAGCTGTGCAGACCTTCTGAGGATGCCTGGGACTCTGAGGTTTTTAAGAGGCTTCTTTTGGTGAAGGGGAGGAAGATGATGGACAGTGACGGCTGCATGTTGGTCCCTGGGACGCACTGTAAGATGAGGTTTGGCTGGCTGCTGTCCCTCTGCTTCTGGTTGCCAGCCGTTGTCTCCTCGTGCGTTGCACTCAAGCAAGAGTCTCTAATAGAGTCCAGTAGAATGTCACAAACTGGATCGTGCTTCCAGGAAAGAGGCTTTTAGTGGGATGACTCAACTAGAAGATCTAACGTATTTAAGGGCATTTCTAGACCTAGACAAGATCAAGGGCTTAAACCTGCAATTAAGGATCCATTGATACTAGGGATGTACAAAAAGAGTTTTAATAGTTGTACTATACATACAATATGATGGGGACTAATTTGGCTACAACTACTCAAGAGTGATCTTGGAGTCATTGTGGATAGTTCTCTGAAAACATCCACTCAGTGCGCAGGGGCAGTCAAAAAAGCAAACCGAACGTTGGGAGTCATTAAAAAAAAGGGATAGACAATAAGACCGAAAATATCCTATTGCCTCTGTATAAAATCATGGCACGCCCACGTCTTGAATACTGAGTACAGATGTGGTCACCTCATCTCAAAAAAGAAATATTGGCATTAGAAAAGGTTCAGAAAAGGGTAACAAAAATGATGAGGGGTTTGGAAAGGGTCCCATATGAAGAGAGATTAAAAAGCCCGGGACTTTTCAGCATAGAGAAGAGGAGACTAAGGCTGTGTCCAGACTCAGGGGTTTTTTTGGGAAAAGTAGCCTTTTTCCGAAAAAACTTCACCTGCGTCTAGACTGCAGCCGCGTTCTTTCGAAATTAAATCGAAAGAACGCGGCTTTTCTTTCGACGGCGGTAAACCTCATTTCACGAGGAAGAACGCCTTCTTTCGAAAGTGCTTCTTTCGAAAGAAGGCGTTCTTGAATGTAAATAGGGCTTCTTCGAAAGAGAGCATCCAGACTCACTGGGTGCTTTCTTTCGAAAAAGCGGCTTGCTCTTTCGAAAGTTCCGCGTGCAGTCTAGACGCTCTCTTTCGAAAGAGGCTCTTTCGAAAGTATCTTTCGAAAGAGGCTTGTAGTCTAGACATAGCCTAAGGGAGGATAGGACAGAGGTCTATAAAATCATGACTGGTGTGGAAAAAGTGAATAAGGAAAAGTTATTTACTTATTCCCACAATATAAGAACTAGGGGTCACCAAATGAAATGAATAGGCAGCAGGTTTAAAACAAACAAAAGGGGAGTTTTTCTTCACTCAGCACACAGTCAGCCTGTGGAACTCCTTGCCAGAGGATGTGCTGAAGGCTAGAACTTTAACAGGGTTCAAAAAAGAGCTAGATAGATTCATGGAGAGGTCCATTAATGGCTATTAGCCAGGATGAGTAGGAATGGTGTCCCCAGCCTCTGTCTGTAAATGGGTGACGGGGGATCACGTGAGGATTACTTGGAGGGAACACAACCTCTGGAGCAGTGGTCTCCAACGTTTTTACACCCAAGATCACTTTTTAAGTCTCAGAACAGGCGAAGATCTACTGCCCCGCCCCTTCCTTGAAGCCCCGCCTACATTACATGAGGAAATCTAATGTAAATGTACTGTGCGGATGCTCAGTTCAGAGAGGACTCAAGAGCTACTCTGAGAGCCCCCAAGATCTACCGGTAGCTCGCGATCTACTGGTTGGTGACCACGGCTCTGGGGCATCTGGTATTGGCCACTGTCGGCAGACAGGACACTGGGCTAGATGGACCTTTGGTCTGACCCAGCATGGCCGTTCTTATGTAAACTACTAAAATGTTAGTGATTTAATAACTCGTTAACTGCCCGCCCAGCTTCTGCCATTTTGCATCATAGCTGGGGGGTGGGCCCTGCTGGCCTGCCTGGGCCAAGCCCAATCAGAAGGGGTTAGGGCCAGCCAGGGATGGAGACCCACCTGCCTGACTGCTGTGATGGGGACTGGGACGCCACTGCTGGGCCGCCCCATGCTGAGTTGGAATGGCCAGGGCCCCGCCTGCTGTCCCCATGCACGCAGGGTCCTGCTGGCTGCTCACCTTGCCAGCTGCGCTCCGCCGGGGCAGCTCCAGCCTGCCGTGGTTAGCTGTGAGACCAGTTACCCGATAAGCCTAATGCTTCCCAGTGTGCTTACCGGGAAACCGATTGAAGAGTTAACCTTTTGCATCCCTAATTGATGCCTGCCACGGATCCTTCTAGGGGCTGACAGACACGTCTGCCATGCATTTGAGGTGTCCAGCTGCCCAGTCTCTCGTGGGCTCGCTTTCAGCCAAAGACGCGGTTCGTTTTGAAGCCACTGCACTGCCTTTGCTGCAGATCCCAACAGCCGTGTGGAGATCGTAGCAGCCATGAGAAGGATTCGGGTGAGTCTGGCTGGGAGTCCGGGTATCTCTGCTGACCCTTGAATGGAAGTATGCCAGTGTCATGGCTCTGTGCGCCCCTTCCCCAGCCCCGCTGCTTGTTACCGCTGGCATGTGAACAGTCGGTCTGCTTTTCTTGAGTAGCTTGGTAGCCACGCTCCAACAGCCGTGTGGAGATCGTAGCAGCCATGAGAAGGATTCGGGTGAGTCTGGCTGGGAGTCCGGGTATCTCTGCTGACCCTTGAATGGAAGTATGCCAGTGTCATGGCTCTGTGCGCCCCTTCCCCAGCCCCGCTGCTTGTTACCGCTGGCATGTGAACAGTCGGTCTGCTTTTCTTGAGTAGCTTGGTAGCCACGCTCCTCAGCCGTACAAGGACTAGATCCAGCTCTTCCCCAAATCTCCTCTCCAGAGCAGAGAGAAGAAACCAGCTCTGCCTCCACCGCGTTATGTAATGGCTTCACACCTACCCCCTGGGTTCCCTTTGCAAGTTATTTTAACAGAGGCTTGGTGAGATTCCACTTCTCCTCCTCTCCCCTCTTACTCTTCAGATGGCCTTGTGATTAGGCACGAAAATTTCCCACCTGTCTGGTTATGAAATATCTCGGGTGCGGGTTTACTTTCTCAAAGCCTCCTTCCACTAGCTGCACCGGAGGCTGCTCTGCCAGTCCCCATGTTTGTTCTGTTCTTACCCGTCTGAAGTACTTGGGGGGCTTTTTAATTAATTCAGAGGCTGTTCATAAACGTCTCAAACTTCAGCCGAAGTAGTGCTGGGCTTGCGCCTTTGAAGTCTTCAAAAGGGATTATCCTGGTTTTCTGCCGGTGTTTAAAAATCTAATTTCATTTAAAATGGCTTTTTTTTTTTTTCTTTTTTTAAAGCTTTGCCTGTAGCCAGCTGGAGAGTTGATTTATTCATCTCCAGCCAAGTGCAGAAATGAGATTCCCTGCCTCCTGCCCAGAGACTATTAACATACCTCCTGTCGTAAAGGGCACAGCACAGTGGCAATCTACATGGCCAGACTATGTGTCTTGAAAGTAGAAGGGAATAGCCAAGAGGCAACGGAGAGGGGCTGGTGATGAGGTGGGGACAGCTCAGATGCTGTGGTGAACAGTAGCATCCATTGGGCTGCCTCATGTGTGGCCTGTCAGATTTAAAATTGCCTTGCAAAAAAAAAAGGGGGGGAGCTTGTTTCTGATCGCGGAGGGACTATTTGTTCAAAATAAACCCAAGAGGTTTAATTCCTGGTCCCAGCTGCTGATGTAGCACCTGCGATGGGCATTCTGGATGGCTTAACATCCATCGGGGGATTCTGGCAACGTGAAAGCAACAAGCGCGGAGGTTTGGGGAAGCTTTTCACCAGGCCCCTCTGCAACGGGCGAAACCGGCAACTGAGTTGCGGTTTTCTCTCACTGCATATTAAAGCGGTTATTCTGGAGCGGGGCGGTTTAACCTCATTTTGCAGCTGGAAGGCAGGGCTTCCCCTTTGGCCTGGGTGGGTGCTGTACAGCAGGCAGGTCTTAGCTGTGTGGGGCAGGGATGTTAGAGGGCGTGTAATTGAACGGTTGTGTAACTGCATGGGGAGGGGAACGACAGGCAGCACTGTGGAGCTGGTGCTGGGAGGGAACCGGCTGTAGGAGGCAGCAAAGTGGGCGGGGGAGGGCGACAGGTGGGTCCGCGGAGCTGGCACGGGCGGAGAGCCAAAAGCCGACTCCCCGCGTGTATTAGCTCCAGCCTGCCCCCTTCACTCTCCGTGCTGCTGCCTCTCTATTGGAAGCAGCAGTGCGGGGATGGCGGGGGGGGCAGACAGATCCTGTGCTCATGGGGAGCCTGCTTAAAGCCACTTCCTTACAGGCACCGGCTCCCGTTTCCCCCAGCCCCCACCCTCCACCGCTGCCTCTGATACAGAGGCAGCAAGAAGTGGTGCATGTAGTCACTAAGGCTTCGTCTTCACCGTGAGTTCTTCTGGCAGAAAATATGCTAATGAGGGACTTAGCATGAGTCACGATCTCATTAGCATATTTTCTGCCATTTCTTTTTGTGCCGTGTGGATTTTTTTCCCCCCAAAAAACACCGTTTTGCGCAAGATCCGTATGCCTCACGGGTTTTTACGCAAAAAATCCCCCCCATCCACACTGCTTCTTTTTGCATCGTAACCCCTTGTGGGGAAAAAATAAACGGCAGAAAATATGCTAATGAGATCACGATTCATGCTAATGAGTCCCTTACTAGCCTATTTTCTGCAAGAAGAACTCTCAGTGAAGACGTAGCCTGTGATTAACCTAGTGTGGAGCAGTGACTGCTGCTAGTTAACTGTTCGGCAGAGCGCTGATCTCTTGCTAGCAAGTAAGGAACGGGGGGTTTGAGGAGGATACCCGTGCACAGGCAGCATGGGATCGCTGAAGAAAGGAAGTGGCTACTAACTGCTGCCTTGCCTGCAGAAGTCTTGCCTGAACCTGAGTTCGTTAGCTCTCCTGCTAGTGCAGCTGTCCTGTTGGCAGGAACCGTCGTACAGCGACAGGCTGTTTGTGACTGTTATGCTTTAAATGGCTGTCTCCTGGGATTCCAGGAGTCTGCTCCATGGGATGCTGGAGCAGTTTTCACCGGGAGCTTGGATCCCTACAAACAGGTGCTGTTGCTGCCCCATGCTGCTGCCTCTGATTCAGAGGAAGCAGCGCAGGGTGACGGGGGCTCCCTGAGAGTAGAGCTAGGAGCCGCTGGCTGCTGGCCCGGCCTCAGGGAGCATCGTGTAACCGCTAAGAATTGTGGCATTTACACGTTTATTAAAATAAACGATGCATAACCCACAATGCAAAGGGGCGCAGGCACGGTGGGACAGCTACCTCCAGTGCATCACTCTCAGAGGTGACGGTAGCCATCCAACCGGGGATGCGCTACTTCAAACTACGTTGATTTCTTGCGCACAGTTGGGACATGCCCCTTCGACTTTACAAAATCAGATGCTAAAAAGTCGATCTTAATAAATTTGACCGTCTCTCTGTGTAGACACGGCCTAAGATATCCTGCCCAGCCCTTGGCAGGTTGCAATCCATGCAGACAGGGCATCTGGGTTGTCAGAGGCTAGTAAGGAAAAATAGGCATATACCAAACTAGTGCTTGTGGTGTCTTGCCATAAGTCGGGGTTCCTTAGGCTGTCCCATGTGCCTGCCCTGTGAAGGGGCCACCTCTAGGGGAGAGGGCACTTCGACCAAGGGGCAACAGAGTGAGCCAGCTGGGATGTGGGTGCTTGCCCAGTGACTCTGAACAGAGGCTGCAAAATCACTCATGTAAGCGGTTGCCACCCTGGATTGGCACCAGTGATCCTCGATAAACAGCTGAGTGCGCCAATCTCCTGAATCAGCCAGCCTCGGCCTTTTTCTTTTGCCAGGCTCTGGCAGAGCCGGTTAGTCCAGTCATTCGTTCTGCAAATCTATGGCTAATCCTGGCTCTCCAGCCAGGGGCAAAAAGCTAGCTTGCTATGGGGGAAAAAAATAACAAGCTACTCATCACCCCAAACTCAGTGGCGTCATCCCAGCTCAAGTTGCACAGGAGATGTAGAAAGAGGGAGACTGTAACTCTTGCATCTGGCTGCTCTACAAATCTCCCCTCCTTGAGGCCTCCTTATACCATGCTACATTCTGCGTGTGGCTGCTGCAGATTCATGCAGGTGACATATGTGAGGCCTTGTCTACGCTGCCATCAACTGCCTTTTGTTGCTAGAACAGTGAGAACGTACACATGACAATGCAATTTTTGTCAAGGGGAAAAACACCCAGTTTTGGTGACAAAAAATCTTCCAGCCCTGAGAGACTTTTGGGATTCCCCCCGCCCCTTCCTTTATTGTCGACAAAGAACCAGTGTGGACTCTGCTGTTTGTTTTGCTTCTACCAGCATCCCCCAATGCCTTCCCTGATGGCTGTGCTTAGAGTTTGGTGATCTCTGCTGCCCTGCAGGCATGCGCCTCTCCCCTTGAATAGCTCCAGGAAGTATCCGATAATTGAGTGAGCTGCTCCGATTGGGGACAAACAAAAAGAGCAAATCGTTGGCATGCTCCTGTTCTGCCCTGCTAGAAACAGTGGCAGGCCGACTGCTACTGCAGGGCGAAGGCTGGAGAGACTTTGACATCCCTCAGCACGGAGAGTTCAGAGTTGTAAGGGAATCCTAAGAAGCGCAAGGATCAGATCTGCTTTCCCACAACACTGCCCTCTGGGATGCTAACCCACAATGCTTTGCTCCGATGTCAGGTTGCTAGCCATGTGTCCATGCAGCGTGGACAATGAAAGGCAGAAATGGGAGGTCAAATCTTCCCAGTGTAGACAGCGCCCGTGACGCTAAGCCATTGGTATTCTCTGCCAGCTCCACAGACCAGGCTGTCTGTAGAATTTAGGATACACACTGAGTTGGGCACAATAAGTCAGTTAGCAACCATTCAAGGTTTATGGCTGAGAATCTCATTCATGACTTTAACCCTGGTTTGCTCAAAGTATACGCTGTTGTTTTGAGGCGCAGGCTTTTTATGCCACAGTACGGGGTAAAAATGAAATCTGTCTTTCACCCTGAATAGATCCTGTCCTAGAGTTACTGACTTTCCTTTTGTTTGTTCTCATGGAATTAGATTTGCAAGACAAACTGAAAAACCTGGTTGCAGATCATATTTCCTCAATTAGAGGAGCCTCCTGCAAATACAGTAGGTGGGGTGGGGGGTGCTTCGTTCTCTCCGCTTTAGCTTTTCATTATGCCATGCTAATCACGCATTTTAAAGTGTCCTAATCCTCACTCTGGATTATTAGCTGCGTACAGTTGCCAGGTTTTTATATTTGCAAGACAAACTGAAAAACCTGGTTGCAGATCATATTTCCTCAATTAGAGGAGCCTCCTGCAAATACAGTAGGTGGGGTGGGGGGTGCTTCGTTCTCTCCGCTTTAGCTTTTCATTATGCCATGCTAATCACGCATTTTAAAGTGTCCTAATCCTCACTCTGGATTATTAGCTGCGTACAGTTGCCAGGTTTTTATCCCCCCCCCCCCGATGCTGACAAAGAAGTTGATGGAATTTTGTTAGTTCCTGAATAATAAGTAGGACCTGAAGTAGGATTGACTGACAAGCACATCTGGTTCTACCTGCCGCTCGCTCAGAATCTGGTGCGGCTCCAGAGTCAGTCCAGGAGAGAGGGTGTCTATGGGGGACACTGCAGAGAAAGGGTGATT